GGAGCCGTTCATTGCGCAGTTTGCCGACGTGTTGGTGATCGACACGGGGTCCGCGCCGGTGCGGATGACGCTGACTCACGGCACGGTGTTGCACTGGCGCATCGCAGACGACGACGAGGACGACGAAGTTCTTGGCGACGATGGCAAGGTCCTCACGGTGGCGCTGGCGAGTCCCATGACCTCGTCGTACGAGCGCATCACAGCGTACATCCTCGATGACGACGAGGCCGACACGCCGCCGACGCGACGTACCGTCGACAAGCTGGCGTTGCCCGACTATGTGCTGAGCGAGCCAGTTGTGCTTGACAATTTGGAGAGCGTTCTGGCGGAAACGGACTTTGCGACGCTCCGCACGGACGTTCTGCAGCTCCAGCAGCGCTTTGCGGTCAAGTCGGCGCTGCGCATCAACCTCCAGCGTGAGACGAGCGGACCCAACCAACAAGTGCTGCGGCAGAAGATTGCGTCGTGCGAAGACGAGCACAAGAAGCTTGTTCGCACTGTCGCTCGTACCCCGTTGCTGATTTACTTCAGGCAGATGCTCCAGCATTCGTCGGCGGCGGTGCGCGAGATGCTTGTCATTGACCTCGAACGTCGGCTCGCTGAGTGCACTAACGCCGTGGCCGCGACGGCCCAGGCAGAGTGCGGTCAAGCCTTTGCCGCGTGCAGCGACGTCGACGACGAGGCCACGCGCTCGGCGTATGCCTTGGCTCTCAAAAAGTGGAGCAACATGGTCACGGGCCTCGAGCACCTCTGGCGCGAGATCTCGCACATCTACACGACTAACCAAGAGGCGTACGCAACCTCCCCCAGCTCGCCGTGCAGCATCTCCTCGATGGGTTTCCGCTTGAGCTCATGGACGGTGATGCTGGTATGGTCAATGACAAGTGGATCCGCGCGGTTCTGAACCGCCTCGAAGCGACGCTTGCGCCAGGCGCTCGCGTCTTTGTGCTTTCGGTCATGGGCGTCCAGTCGTCGGGCAAGTCGACGCTGCTCAACTCGATGTTTGGTGTCCGTCTTCGGACGAGCGTCGCCCGGTGCACGCGCGGTGTGAACCTCCAGCTGCTCGCTTGCAACAACTGCGACGACTACGACTATGTCTTGCTCCTCGACACGGAGGGCATCCAGTCGCCCGAGTACGTTGGTGTCGAAGGCACGGTCTGGCGCGACAACCGCATGGCGTCCGTGGCCATTTTGCCGGCGGACGCGACCATCATCTTGACGAAAGGCGAGGCGACCAACACGATCAACGACGTGCTGCCGATCGTGCTCTCGGCGTTTGCCAACTCGGAGCTCGCGGCCGCGTCGGGTGGCCACCTCTCGTCCAAGCTCTACTTTGCGTTCAACCAGATTGACGTGTCGCAGACGAACAACATGGCGTCGAGTCTCCGGGCGCTCCTCGACAGTCTTCGCAACAGTGCCAAGCAGATTGCGGCGGTGCGGCAGACCGAGACGGCCACTTTCTTGAGCGACTTTCGCGCCGACATTGCCGACGAGGCGGGGAGCGACGTCCGGTTCCTCGGCATGACGCAAGGCCAAACCACGCCGCCAAACGACGTGCCGCTGCCCGACTTTGGCGAGCGCCTCGTCCGGTTCCGGGACCACATGCACACCCGCGCCACTGAAAGCCAGTGGCAGGCGGTCGCACTTGTCGACACTCGAGGCGATCGTCGCGACGTCACTGAACCAAGATGCGTTCGCCAAGTGGGCGACGACGATGCTCGAGGGCTGGGTCGTCAAGAAGCAGCGCCAAGCGGCGCACTCGGCACGCCTCGTCCAGGCCAAGGTCCAGCACCTCTTTGAGTACGACGCCATCACCAAGGTCTACAAGGAAAAGCTCCAAGCAAAAATTGTGGATCACAACGCGCGGTTTGGGCCTGAAGAGACGATGCAGGCGTTTGACAACATCTTTGGCGAAATCTTGGACGATGCTCGCAAAGAAAATCCAGCGTTTGCGAGCCAAGTCCCCAAGCACGTGCGCGCCGTTATCCACAACAACCATATTTTCACGCCGGACGAGCTCGCGCGGCTGAACACGGACGACAACGACGAGTGGACGCCAGTCAAGCTGGCAACCAAGGTGGCGCGAAAGTTCTCGAACGTTTTCGTGTCGAAGGACACGACGCCGCGTGACACGGAGGTGACGGGCGCTGTCTGTGATCTTGTGCGCAGTCTTCTCGCCGATGTCGACCGCTACTCGGACGACGTGGCGCTGTCGTGTGCGCGCGACGTGCAGCGCCTGCTGGCGTCCAAGCAGCTGACGCCGTCCCAGCACAAGGCGGGTCTCCGCGCGCTCACCTCGATGCTCACGGATGAGCTTCAGCTGCGCCAACTGCGCTGGGACGAGGCCAACAGCGTCGTCGCCAAGTTTGCAGCGTGTAAAGCGAGCATGCTTCTCTTTGCACAGAACGTGTGCGATGGCCAAAAGGCGGCGCAGCTGCTGTCGACGACGCTGGACGAGTGGCTGGGGCTCAACTTGGCCAAGGCATTTGAAGAAGAGGTTGTGAGCGTGGTGGCCTCGTCGCTCAAACACGCGCGCTGGGTACGCGCCGCTGATGCGATGCAAGCCGCGTTGGACACGGATCTTCTTCAGTACTTGCGCAAGAAGAAGACGCGCAAGGTGCTGAGCCTCATCGAGGAACCGACCGCGCACGCGGCCGACATGACGAGCACACTGGTGCTAAAAGAGGTTCAAAAGTGCTACGTCAATGTCAGCAAGAAGCTTGTGCGGGACATTGAAGAGAGTGTCGCGACGGCCGCCGACGCTGCAACCCACGCCAGCTCGGAACGCACCAAGTGCTTTGTGCATGCGCTCCGTGTGTCGCTCCAGAGTCGCCTCAAGTGCAGCGGTACCAGTGCGCTCATCGAGAACCTGCCTGCCGCCCCGGGGGTCATGAACTGCGACGACCAAGGGCCATCGGCGTTTGCTCTCACGACGGACCAGGACGCAATCAGTGTGCCGCAAGCTCTCCTTCGGCGACTTCGTGCGACGGCCTTAGAGCTGCGTCCGTCGACGGCGTGTAGCTCGACGATGACCAAGGCGGTCATTGGCGTCATCCGAAACGAAGCGTACGGGGCCGTGGATGGCATCGTGCCACGCTGTGGGGCACCGTGCCCACGTTGCTGCTGCCCGTGCACCAAGGCGCTCGGGCATACCTCGACGAAGGACGATGCGCTCCACGACACGTACCACCAACCGGGGGGCCTTGTTGGCGGTTGGGTGGATACGACGCACGAGCTTGTGTACCGAAGCTGTGCGACGTCTGTCGTCGATGATATCGGCATTGTTTTCGCGAGCGGCGTCCGCCCCTACAGAGACTTTGAGGCGATCTATCCTGGGTGGGCCTTGCCGCGCGTGACCAAATTTCTGCCGCTGCGCGAGTACATCTTCAAACAATGCCAGTCCGAGCTCTCGCAAAAGTTCAACAAGCTCCCGTGCACATCGATACCCATCTCATACGCCCACAACCTCGACGACATTGGGACGCAGCTCGAGCGTCTGCTCCATTAACCACTGATGGGCGCAATAAATGCATGTCTTCCGATCATTCGCCACTGCTGTCGACGTGCAATCGTCGCCGAGTAGCTTGCGAGGGACCGGCTCGTCCTGGTTCGTAAAGCGTCGCGGGGTCGCGGCCGTTTGAAATAGATGTTTGGTCCCCTTGAGACGAGGAGTTTGCAGCTGCATGGCTGACTGCTGAGGCGAATCTCGAGATTCAGCGGTGGTCCAAGTTGTTGTGCATGATCTGGGGGGATCAGGATGAAGATTAGGGTTAGATCTGAGTCTCAGTACGTGGCTAGTGCGCGTGTCTAACAACCGAGCTAAGCTCAGGCTAATCGAGTCATTGTTCAATCTGCTCTTCGTCTCTCAAGTCTCCCCGCGACAGCCAACGCGCCGTCACAACGACGCACTTCGGGTGTTGCCGTCGAGCTTGTCCACCGGGCGCTTGGACGACGAGCCGGTAGGCGCAAGGCGCGGAGGCTGCGCACCGACGCCCGCGACCGCGGATACATCATCATGTCCACTTCTACAGCCGAAGTACTCGCGCGCAAGAGCATCCGCAGCGCGACAACGACTGCGCTGGTAAATGTGGGCGAGGAGCAGCAAAAACGATCAACTGCCGCCCCGCGCAGACTACCGTCGGGTGCTCCGGGTGGAAGACGTGGTCGAGCGCCGCCATGGCCCAGAGACTGCCGGCATATAGAGGCTCAAGGTAAGACAAAACGTCCCGTGAACCTGCTCGAACGTCGGTAAGATGGCGTTGCAGAACGCGAGGCCCGCGCGAGACGCAAGTCAGTAGACAAGGAGGCCGCCCGACGACAGTAGCATTAGCATGAGAAACGGCAGCTTGGAGTTGGACGTTCTGGAAGACACGTCAAAGGGCTTTGTCCCTACGCTCTCGTCCATCCCGTCGTGTCGTCCAGGCGGCAATAGGGGGAAATGAAATGCCATCCGTGGAGCGAGGCTGAGACGATCGCTGTCCGTGCCCCACTGCCTCTCCTCCACACCGCACGTGCCGGCGTCGTTGATAGTACGAGGTGAAGCTACATCGAAGACGACATTGAGTAGTACAAGTTATATAGAGTAAATACGCACAGAATGGAACACTAGATAGATTGTTAAGCGGTCAGCACAGGGCCAGCGTTTCGGCTCGGCTCGGACAGGATGGTTTCAGTGGTCGGAAATCCTGTAAACTCGTCGGGTGCCATGTCGTTGAGCAGATTCACTGTGAGGAGGTTGGTGGCGTCGAGGGTCTTTTTGTTGCGTCGAAAGAGCTTGTGCTTATGGGCCTTGGGCTTGGCGTCGAAGCCCTGCGCGAGCTTCTTGCAGCCACAATGGCCGTTGTGCAGTAGCCGTTCGGACGACGCCTCGTGCGGCTCGGAGCTCGTCGCTTGCGAGACGTAAATGACGGGCACGCTGTCATCGTTGGACGACGACTTGGTCTCGCGCTGGTCGCGCGGCAATGGCTGCACGAGGTCGATCTGCGCCTCGTCGAAAAAGTAGCTCGCGACCGAGTTCTCGAACGCCTTGGTGTGCGTCACGTGGTGGAGACACCCAGCGTCCATGAGCGCGTTGCCAACGCGGACCGCCTCCTCGTCTTCGTACGCATACATGTGCTCGCGGAGGCAGCGCACGACCTCTTCGCCCGTGAACGTCATGTTGGGCTTGCCACGGCGCGACTTGTTCAGCGGCGTGTACTGCACGAGACGGGAGAGCACGTGGGCCACCGTGCCGCAGACTTCTTCCTGGAACGCCTCCAAAAGGCCCACGATCGCACTGGCGGTCGGACGAAACTCAGGGTCCGAGCACCACGCGCTCTCAAGGAGGTCGCGAAACACCGGGTGGAGCTCCGGGTCGAGCGGCGGGCGCTGCCCGTCGAGGACGGTCTTGAAGACGTGCATGTGGCTCGAGCTGCTCGCGTACTTTTCCCGCCCCGGGTGCAGCACGTCCCAAAACGTCACCGCGAGGCTGTAAATGTCGGCCATCTCGCTGTAGCTCGCCTCGCCTTGCCGGCCGTCAATGATCTCGGGCGCCATATAGTCGGCCGTGCCCCGCATCGTCATGAGGCGCACGCTCGGCGCCGAGAGATCGTGGATCTTGCCCGCCATCGAGCGCGACTCGCCAAAGTCGGTGAGCTTGACGCGGTTGGTGGCGTCCATGAGGAAGTTCGCGGGTTTGATGTCGCGATGAATAAACGGCGGCGAGAACGAGTGGAGGTACGCCACCGCGCGGGCCGCGTCGAGCATGTAGCAGAGCTGCAGAAGGAGCGGCTCTGTATAATCGTGCTTGGCGAAATGCAGCTTGTCTTCGAGCGACCCGCGGCAGAGCTCCGAGACAAGGCAAATCGTTGGCGGGAGCACACACATGCCATGGAACGTGACGACGTTGGGGTGCGTGAGCGCAGAGCAGAGCGCGGCCTCTTGGGAAAAGTCGACAATCGTCGCCTCCGTGATCTCGGTCGGCGAGTAGACTTTAATCGCGACCGGAATTTTCGAGTGGAGGAGCCCACGGTAGACGTCGGCAGACGCGCCGAGACCAATCTTGTGCGTGAGCTCGAGGTGGGCAAAGTCGATGATGTCGCGCTGGTGCATCTCGAGTAAAATGTGCAGTCCCTGCGCCGACACGATTTCCTGCATGCACTGGTTTTGCCGAAACAGCGCTTGGAGGTCGCACGCGCGCTCGCCGAGGCCACGCCAGTGCTGCGTGTCGGCGCGGAGCACGCGGTAAATGAAGAACGGGGCAGTCGACGCCCACGTGATCGTAAAGAAGACGAGCACGATCCCCGCGGTCGTTAAATTGGCGTAGAAGAGCTCACCGTAAATCAAAACGAGGACGTAATACCCGATGAGAAAGCCGCAAAACTCACGCAGCGCGCGCTGGTTGGCGCGTCCGAGTGGGTAAAAGCAGAGCCAAATCAAAAAGCCAATGATGGCGACGCGGTACCCGACCGTGACGACGTGGGCCGTGAGCGCCGGCGCGTCCGTGACGCTAAAGATGATCGTTGTCGAAAGTGGTATGAGGCAGAGCAAGAACGAGATCGCCATCGACCGCTTCAGCGCGGGCCGCGACACGGACCGTTGAAAGAGGAACGCAATGACCAAAAACACGATAAACTGCCGGCCTTCGTACAAAAATTCGGTAAAAATCGAGTTGAAAATCGGCTTGGTGTAGTCGGCGATCGACGCGACGATAAAGTACAACGTGTACGAGCCGGTGACGGCGCACATGACCCAGATGAGCGGCTCGAAGGACGGCAAGAGGATCTTGCGCGCCGCGTCCGAGTCGCCGAGGTACGCGGTCGCGCGGTGCCGACGAAGGTAGACGACGCACGCGACCGAGAGAAGAAACATGGCGCCATACCCGACCGTATACAAAATCTGGAGCACTTTAAACTGCGCGATGATCTTGTCGCGCGCTGCTATCGCCGCCAAGGCCGCCGGCGACAGCGTCGCCTCATCCGCGCGCCGCAGGTGTTGCTCAACGATGGACATGGTAAAAGGCAAAGTGCCATCGAGATGGAAGCGATCGGTAGCCAGCTTTGGTAGCCTACCGGTATTGCTTTGCATTCAGGCCAGTCACGGGCTCAGTTCGCCCACTGGGTACAGGATTTCTCCGGTTTGAACGTTCCGTTCTTCGATAGTATATGTCGTTGAAGAGAGGAATCTGCGTCGGGAGTGCAGTCACAGGTCAGGGATGTATGATTAGAGGCATTAGAGAGGTACTTGCCATTGCGCCATGCATGCCTACCACCTGTATGTGTCGCGAGTTTGAGGACGACAGTACGTAGTATGCGTTGGTCGTAGTACGCATGCATACCCACAGCGTTATCACCGCACCCACGATGTGGCAGCGGTGCGAGGATGCCGTACTACTGTACTGGAGCAGTGGTCAGCCTACGACCGAACGCATGGTACCGACCGAGTCGTTGTCGTCTCGTCCGCCCGCGTTGTTTCTCGAAATCGCAACCGGGTTCTCTGACCCCATGTCGCGAGTAAGATAATATGGCTACTCGTGGTAGCTTGGGGGCAACCATGGTGCAAGTAGGTCCTGCCCTCGCTGATACTGGTTGGGGTGGGAGATGCACGCTGGGATTTGGTCGCCCGCTATTCTATGCTTTTTCTGCCGTGCTGTTACTGTGCGAGCGTGTCACGAACGTGGATGTCGTCACCCCACATCATCGTCTCGTCGTCGTCCGTCTCTGGCTCCAAAAGCATCTCGACCGCCGACCGCTGCTTCTTGTACAGTCGGTACCGGCGCTTAGATGGCTTCGAAGCGGTGCCAAGGCCTTGGCCGTGTAAAGGGCACTTGCAGCGACCGTCGTCGTCGAGGGCAAACGCCAGGAGCGACGACCGTCGCGCCGACGGCTGCCACGTGTACTGTATCCGTGGGCTGTTTTGAAAGCTGCGCGCGTGTTTGACGTCGTGGAGGTGTCCTGTCTCGAGGAGTGCGTTGCCGACGCGAACGGCTTCGAATTTATCGCGAATGCCACGATTGGCGTCGATGAGAGCGTCGACGAGCTCGGCGCCCGTCGTGGGCATCGTCTCGCGCTCAAGGGCCATGGCCAGACGCGCCGTCTCGTCCTCGAGGAGGGAGGCGAGGATCGTGACCATGGAAGCGGCCGACGGTCGGTCGATCGCAGCAGGTGCCCACGCAGCGACAAGCAGTTTCCGCAGTGCTGGCGAGAGGGTATCGCGCAGCGGCGGGCGCGCGCCGTCGAGGACGAGTGTGAAGATGTGCATGTGATTCTTCGTGCCGCGCGGGTACTTGAACTGGCGCGGGTGCAAGATGTCCCATAGCGTCATGCTCAAGCTAAAGACGTCCGAGGCGGTCGCATACGACGCAGCACCTCGCTTGCCGTCGATCATCTCGGGCGCCATGTACTCGACGGTGCCGCGCACCGACATGCGCTGGACGTCGGCGACGCGCGACTCGCCAAAATCCGACAACTTGACGCGGTGGTTGGTGGCGTCGAGGAGGTAATTGGCGGCTTTAATGTCGCGGTGCAAGAGCGGCGGCGAAAATGAATGCAAAAACGCCACGGCGCGGACAGCGTCGAGCATATAACACAGCTCGACAAGCGGTGACAGCGGCGACGTGCAGCTCAGCAAGTCGTCGAGACTGCCGCGGCAGAGCTCGGCGACGAGGCAGATCATGGGCGGGCAGACGCAGAGGCCATAGAACGACACAATGTTGGGGTGGCGGAGCACGCCCCAAAAGCCCACTTCGTGGGAAAACTCGGCCACAATCGCTTCGGAAATCTCTTGCGGCGTGTACACCTTGATGGCGACGTCGAGCGACGAGTGCAGCGTGCCGCGGTACACGGTCGCGGACCCGCCAGCGCCGAGCCGCTGGTGCCACTCCAGATGGGCAAAGTCGATGAGGTTGCGCCGGTGCATCTCGAGTAGAATGTGGAGCCCTTCGGCCGACATGATCTCTTGGACACTGGCGCGGTCTGTATCGAGGTGCAGCGCGCGCACGCTGAGCCCGCGCCAGTGCGCCGTGTCGGCGATGAGCACACGCCAGACGAAGAATGGCGCGAGCGATATCCAGCACGAGCGCGCGATGTGCACGTACACGCTCCACGTCTCGAGGTGCGCGTTGCCTTCGCGTATTGCGTGGTACGAGAGCTGCATTGAGACGCCGCCGAGGGCGTAGAAGACCAGCGCAAACCCACAGAGTTCGCGCACGACATTGATATTGGCGCGGGCAAGCGGCCGGCACGCGAGGCGGAGAAAGAAGAGGACGAGCACCAAGCGCGCGAACACGGCGATCGCGTACTGCAGTTGAAAGACATAGCCATCTGTGTCAGGGCTCGAGCGCAACGCACTCGCGAGGCCCATGAGCCCCACGGGCGACACGAGTAGCAGGAGCGTTAGCACTAAAGTCCGCGAGATCGCTGGCACCGACACGCTCTTTTGGTAGAGGAATACAGCGACAAAGACGACGTGAAAGTGCTCGCCTTGGTAGATGGCTTCGTTGTACACGCACGCATATGGCCCGGGTCCTGGACCCGTGTAGCCGCGCGAGAGCGTCACGGCAAAGTACGTGGCGTACGTGCCCGAGAGACCGACAAAGCCCCATAGCATTGGCTCGAACGAAGGTAAGATGAGCCTCCGCGCGGCGCCCGAGCTGCCACGCCACGCGGTGGAGCGCTGCTGTCGCAGGTACGCAACGGAGACTAGCGCGAGGAGAAAGGCCACGCCATACTCGAGGCCATGGACCAATGCGGCGAGACGCGCCGTCTCCATCTTGCTCTGATAGCTCGGGAAGCCGTGTCAAGATATCCGGATGGTTGAAACTGCAAGGGCAAAGGTCAGACGACGCATGGTCCGCTTGCCGCCCTCCCTGATCCACTGCAAGTCGATGCAGCGAGCTTACGTTGTTATGGACCGATGATGCCACGCGTAAAGGGACTGGAGGGAGAGTCACAGCTACCGTCGTCCTTGCTACTAACGTTAGAAGTAGTAGCAAAGCACAGGGTCGTTCGAGGCGTGAGCACGTGGCGCGGAGTAGTTGCGGTCGTTTTGGGCATAGTTTCTAGCACCTCCTAAAACCACCGGCTCAGACATCCGCCGTCTCTTCCTCTCTTCCTCGACGCCGTCGTCCCCATTGCCTCAACAACTATTCGTTTACCGCTGCAGGATTCATGTCGTCGACTAAACCTGTGCCAAAGCACGTTGGACGACGTCTGCTCGCTCTTCCCACCGAGACGCAGCGTAGTTAGTCGATGCCATCGACTCGACTCGATTGCAATCTCCGCCCGCGCGAAGAACGCGATGGCAATGCGATGTAAAAATAGCGTAGTATACAAACCCTAGGTACCGCGATGGTGTGGGTTCATTTTTAAAAGCCAATCATATCGCGCTTAAAAATAGCTGGCCAATCCAAAGACGTGGAATGTCGCGCCTCGTGTTTCATTGGCTCATTTTGTGCTTCTATTTTTAGCGCGATGGCCATCGCGAGCCAACGCTTTTGAGTTGCAGTTGGGGTTTTGAACGCAAGCAAAGATGTCGTCGTCTTGTGAAGCGAGGTACGCTCATCTACGATCTGAGTGCTCGACACTCATGGCACTCGCAGACCGTCCCCGAAGCGCCGCGTGTCCAAGGCCGGGTTTGAAGATGCCAATGCCATGGGGCTGCTCCTCGACAGCTTCGCGGCCACCAACAGCCCCAAGCGCCACAACTATGGCAACATGTCGTACGACGAGCCCGCCTACCCGAAGAGCGTGAGCCTGCTGCGCCAAGGTACAGCACCACGAAGGCACCATGGCAACTTGTCATGCTGCTTGCGTCTCTAGTGCCCTTCAAGATCCTCGTGCCCGACAACACACCGCTGTCGTGTGAGAAGAGCAGCATGAGCGCCCTCTTTCCTACGACGCTTACACCGAAAGCCACGTCCAAGCCGTGCTTTACACCGACGCCGACTGCGACGCCGACGTCGAATGAGTTTGACGAGCTCCCCGACTCGAGCCTCGACTTTCTTTCGCACTCGCCCGAATACAACGACAGCATGTCGCCAGCGCCATTCGATAGTGATGCGACATTAGAGGTGCTGAGCGATGCCACGACCGCACCGACGTTTGACCTCTCAAATTGCATACCGCCGGCGCCGTCGCTCCAAGACATGGCACACAACATGTATGCGATGGAGAACCTCATGGGCTACCGCCGGCTGCAAATGCCGCCGTACCCGGGCATGTTTGACGGTCTCGACCCGCAGCAACAGCACCACCACCACCATCACCACGCGTTGCTTGGTGCACCTGTCGTGCACCCCGGCAGCTGGTGCGAGCGCGAAGACAAGCAGCTCCGAAAAGCCATCAAGAACCTCGGCACAAAAAACTGGAAGCAAGTCGCGATGATGCTCAACACTGGCAAGACCGACGTTCAGTGCTTGCATCGCTGGAACAAGGTCCTCAAGCCCGGTCTTTTGAAAGGCGCTTGGAGTGCCGAGGAGGACGACGTGCTCCGGTCGCTCATGCTCAAGTACGGCGTCGGCAACATCCGTTGGGCTGACGTCGCGAACCACATCCAAGGCCGCACGGGCAAGCAGTGCCGCGAGCGCTGGCGCAACTGTCTCAGCCCCGACATCAACAAGGGCGAGTGGTCGGCCATGGAAGACGAGGTCATGTTCCGTGCGCAACAGCGCATGGGCAACCGATGGAGCGAGATCGCCAAACTCCTTCCGGGCCGCACCGAAAATGCGATCAAGAACCGATGGAACTCGAGTGCGCGCAAAAACTGGTTTTCCAAGCAGCAAGCCAACGGTACGACGGCCGAGTCGTCGCTCCAAGACGACGACTGCTGCGACGACATGAGCGAGACGGCGTCGTCGTCGCCCGCGCCGTCGACCAGCGACAGCATCGACGATGCGCATTTCAACTTTAACGACCTCGCCAAGGTCGTCGAGTCATCGTCGCCCATGCAGCACCGTGGACGGAGCGATAGCGTCAACAGTGTCGCGTCCATGAACAGCAGCGTCGTCGACGAACTCGAGTTCCTCGTCGGCGACGAGGAGAGCGGCAGCTTTCCCGACGGCTTGCTCTTGGGCACCCACGACCTCATGGACGCCGATCTGAGTTTGCTCTTTGACGCGGTCGAGCAAGACTTTGCAGACGCCGACGGCAGCGACGAGACCAGCAGCACGACGTCCGCGGCCTAGTTAGGATTTTTGAATGTGTCGCGTTGAGACTCGCATCGAGAAGCAGCCGCTAGGAATTAGCACTAATTAATAAGACAACATCACCATCACACTTGGTCGCTTCGTAAAAATATGCCGAGGCGAAGATGCCATCACAATAATATATGATGCAGGTAGTGATAGAGTATCAACGTTTTGAATAAGGTATCATCATTTCCACCTTGATGTATAATCCGACCTTGCGAAAACAATGGAGTCATGCGCGTGCGGTGGTTTGCTCCCATGGACGTACCAAGAGTACGTATATATACCCTTGAACGTACCAATGTATGCACCCCGGGGCACACACACATCGATCGCTGCCATCGTCAATGGGACAACATGTATTGATTGACGTAAATTATCTATTTTTTGTTTGTTTTTTTCGCGGGTCGCCTTAGCGTGTGCTTCGCTGGCGACTTCGATCGCGAGGAGCGTCGCGCCGCCGTCGGCCGGCAGCGGGTCGATCGGAGCTGCGCCTTTGCAGCGCTGGTTCTCCAATGTGGATTGCAGCTGCGCCGACTCCCAGTCCACGAGTACGCTGCGAATCTAGGCGCGCGGGCATTCTTATCCTCGTCGCTCAATCGCAAGCGAATGTACCTCGGCCTTGCTCGTTACGACGTTGAGCGCTGCGTCTATTTCGTCCTGCGCAAGGTCGAATGCATCCTTATTGTACTACGCACGATGCATGGGTCGTTCACGGCGGAAGCAGCAAGCGCACCTGGTTCTTCAAGCGCGGGTTGGCGCCGTGGTGCAAAAGCAGCCGCGCGACGCGTTTGGATTGGTGGAAGATCGCAATTGCAATGGGCGTCCAGCCTTTGGCGTCGCGGGCATTGACGTTGGGCTTGAAGACCTTTGTGTACACGTCTTGGACGGCGGTCGCACGTTTGTGGGCGCGGAGCATCGGATGATTGTCGTCCTGAAACGACTAGACAAAAGACCTAAGTCCTTATTCTCGAGTCCATCAAGAACCTTCCAAAAGGAAAGAAGCATGTGAGCACTCTCTGCATTGTCATACTGAGCAGCCAGAGCCAAGAGGGTCGCGCCCCGCTCGTCCCGAACGTCCGCTGTCCCTACAATAATTTTGTAGTTCGGGTAGGCTTGGACGACGGTACAAGCGTACCCCGGGGCCGCGTCTCGGTGTCGACGGCTTCGCTTGCGAGTGCGGCAAGCTTTTCTTTGAGGGCTTCGGCTGCCGCACTCGCAGTCGATGATGCCGTTGCAATCAGATCTTGGTGGATGCGCATCATGGCCACCTGCTCGCGCTCGACATGGCTCGTGAGGCGCTCCTGGAGCTTCTTCTCCAGGAGCACACAAACGACAGGAGCGTGAAGCCTCCCGACGCATGCTATACTTCGTAGCGCTCACGAAGCAGTGTCTCGGTCGTTTCGACGTTCCACTCGCTGAGGACGGCAGCGATGTCCTTGGTTTTCGCCACGTCAAACGCTCGCTCGCTACAAGACGCAGTGCAGGGTGCTGCTGTTGATCGTCGTACCCTTGTTGCGTCGTGCACCGCGGGTCGCCGCCGGCGTGCAGCAGTGCCAAGACGGCGTTCAGGTGGCCATTGTACGCGGCACGGAAGAGCGGCGACCGCCCCGCGTCGTTGCGCGCATTCGGGTTGGCACCCTCAATGCGACGATAGGCGTGCCTGGGTGATCGAAACGGGAGAACGTACGAGCGCCAAGAGGTGCGCAATCATCTCGTCGTGGCCTTGGCACGCGGCTTCCGAGAGCGCCGTGTGTTTGTGTCCGTCTTCGCTTTCAAGGTGGTATCCCTTCTCGAGCCAGCTGTCGAGGGCGGCAATGTCGCCATCGAAACCAGCCTCGACAACGTCGACGCTGTTGCGCCGCACCTGAAAGAGAGTGCGGCATTCGTCCTCTTACGTAGCAAAATATGCAGTACCTCTTTGAGGCCAAGCGCCGATGCGACCGGGTCGTCGCCGTCGTCAGCGGCGGCGAGCGCGTCCGGCGGCAGCACGGACACGAGACACATGCGCTGGCGCGTCCGGGGCGGTGGCGCGACGGCACCGTAGAGCAATGCAAACTTGAACGCATCGCACGGAAGAAAGAGGTTGGGTTCCGGATCCCCTTCGTCCTACAATTGTAGATGAATTGAATGTACATTGCCCCATGCGATAGTAGTATAACATGCTAGTATACCTTGCGGAGCAGGGTCGACCACACTTCGGGTTTGAAAAACTCGGCGCGATCGAGGACGTGGTGCGGAAAGGCGCCGTCGAGAAAGTACGTGTCGAGCTCGACACCGGTGAGCTTATCAAAGCAGATGGTCATGAGCGAGCCAAGGCGAAGCGCCGCTACAATGTATTTTCAATCGCTGTTGACGCGGCGTCGATTTCTACCGACAAGGTGACGTCGCAGCGACGCCTCCGTCATGTCCAAGGGATTGCCTGCGAGGAGGAAGCAGCCGCGCTGGTACTTGAAGAACTGGGCTGCTTGGCCACCTGTGTGATCCACAACGAGTGGGTACTTTTCGTAGACATAGACGGCCTTTTCCAACGCGGCGGGCAAGTCCTTGAGCGTCGTGCGGATCTCGGGCGCCATGGCCTCTACGCCGCCTTCATCATCCACGTCGTTGACGTCTATGAACCTTGCGCCGCGCGCTGCTTTATATCCAAGATCAGCTGTGTCACCATTTCCGTAGTGGGTCCATGCAGCTGCAGCGCGGTGACGACCATGCTCGGCTCCATATCGATAAGCTGGCTCCCGCTCACGTCTACGCGAGGTTCGATTGGACGAATATGCTTGCTGCGCGTGTACCATTGGCAGCGATCCACTGCACCACGAGATGGCGTGTCGCTTCGTCGGCGATGGCCTGCGCCGCAAAGTCGCTGACGTCGGTGGGCCGCCATTCGAGCACGGGCTTGGTGGGCGTGCTGCAACCGCTGCCCATAGCGTGGCTTCCACGTACTAACCGCCGTCGTTACGCCCGATTCGTAGACCCTACTCCACCGACGCATCTCCACTCGTCTTTGCCCACGCGCTTCCTCCTCATGTAAAACTTCTCGACTTGGATGGCATGGATGTCCATGGATGACACCGCCGCGCGCCGCGTCGTCATCGGCTTGCCACGTCACGCATGCGCAAGTTCAACTAGGATAAGTCCTACCGGAAATAAACTCTGAACTTTAACACGGCGCTGATATCCTGGCCGGACACTGGAATCAGGGCTCGGAACCATCCGGACAACGTGGATCGGCAACCGGAATGGGACAGGCCTCTGCTTTCCTCTTGCGGTTTGTATGCCACGTGGCCACGTCCTAATGTTGAAGCCCTTGGCACCCATGACCAGACCTGGTTCTCCCCGTCGCTCTTCGGTTGGCCCACTCTTGGCGTCGCCCGCCGTGCTGGCGTCGGATACCTCCACAGTATACTGGATATTTCGAACCTTGAACCGGCAGCCGCGGGCACAAAGGCTTGGGATTTGTATGGAAAGAAGCTGCGTCGTCAATCTCGGCCGGCATTAATATATATTCAAAATGGGATTTAACGGGCACATGGGTGTTGGCATTGTATTTTAATCCAACCCACCCCGTAAAGTATACAAAGAACAAGAGAAGAAGAAGGAAGGAACCATTGAATTGCATCTGGTTCTGCGTTAATTCATTGCCGACGGAAAAAAAGAGAAGCGTTTGAGGCGCAATATTTGCAAGTTGCGCGTCTCTGCGGACGATCGCGACGACCGAAGCGCCGCCCGCTGCCCATCCGCTTGCATCTTGGTCATGCAGACGGACGTAGTACTCGACTTCCCCATCCACCCGGTTGGCGTCATGGACAACCAGCAAGAGGAGGGCCTGCGCGCCAAGGAGCCCACGGACGACATGGCGTCGCAAAAAGAGTGGAGCGACTTTCTCAACTCGAGCGTGCTCGCGCTGTCGCTGGAAGAGCCTGTCGACGAAGACAGCGCGCGGCCCAAGCCCATCGCGACGGGCACGCCGACGCAGAAGCAGCTCCGCGCTGGCTCGCCGCTCGTGCTGTGCATGTCGCCGCTGGCGACGATCCCGCCGATCCCGTCGATGGTCAATAGCCCCGAAGCGACTGCGGCCGTGAACCCGACATCGTGGCCGTCGTGGAAAATGTCGATTCCCACTACCGACGACGTGGACGACGACGACGACGACGACAACGACGGCGACCACAGTCCGCTGGGCATCCCGCTTTTGAGCGAAAAGCAACACGCGACCGAGAAAGCGCGCCGCATGCGCGCCAAGTCCTTCTCAGCGATCTACGCCCACGAGCATCACGTGGCGGCGTGGAGCACCGAGCGCCACGATGGCTTGGGCTTGAGCAACAACAGCATTCCGCCGCCGCTGCCGCACTTGCAGCTGCCGCCGACGCCCTTTCAAGCTGCGCCCATGCAGTCCGTGTCCAACTTTAACATGCGCCGCTACTCGGGCGACTTTGATCACTATGGCCACCGCTCGATGGACCTTCCTCGTCGTCGTCGTCGTCGTTCTTGCCGCCGCCGCCGCCCATGCCGACGGGCAACCGGGGCATTCGGTCGCATAGCATCGAGTGCCACCCGAGCTCGTCGCACATGCCGCGCCCGCCGTCGATGGGTAGCCCGTACCACGCGGTGACGCGCAGCCCGATGCTGCGCCAAAACATGCGGCAGCCGCCGCTCCCGACAAAGCAACAAGCCGGGAACCAGTACGCCGAGTGGCAGCGCCCCGCCAACGACTTTGCGCCGCCGCTACCACCCGACTCGGGGGCCTACTATGGCAACGCGACGGCCACCACCAACAACTATGCCGAGTACATGCCCGAAGCGTACTACGAGGTGCAGTTCAAGCGTTGCCGCAAGGATATCTTTTCCGGTCTTGGCGGCTTCAAGCTCGGCGACTACGTCAAGGTAGATGCTATCTACTCGTCAATGCGTGCATGCTCATGTCAAATCGCAGGTGGAAGGCGATCGCGGTGAAGACGTGGGCCATGTCATCCGCATGGCGCCGGACGCCAAGACGCTGCGCAGCGACAGCGACAGCAAAGAGCCGGCGCCGATGAAGCGCGCGCGTCATGCGTCTCGCAAGCGAGAACGAGCTCACGCTTTTGCGCGAGCAGGTAGCACCACCGAGGACCCTAGATCGCTCATCCGACTTGGGTTGTAGCACAAGGAAGAGCAAGAAGTGTTGCAAGTCTGCCGCAGCAAGGTGCGCCAGCGCATGCTACCCATGAACGTCATTGACGCCGAGTATCAATTTGACCGGCACAAGCTCACGTTCTTCTTCGAAGCGGACCGGTACGCCTCGTCCTACTTGGTCGCAATACCCAACATCCGATCGGATGCGTAGGCGCATCGACTTTCGCGAACTCGTGCGCGACCTCTTCGCCATCTACAAGACGCGCATCTGGCTCCAGCAGGTCGTCTCGGTGCACAAGAAGGGCATGGCCCCCGAGTTTGAGCTGGCGGACGGCCACCATTAGACGCCACTTAGAAACAAGACGGTATAGAAGACGCCACCCAAGCGACTAGAGACAGCGCGAATTGCATGATGGTAGTAGTAGTAGATTGGTGTCGTAATAAGTGTGCAGTACATAAGACGGTAATAATGCATCTCGAAAACAAACATGCTAGAGGTGTCGGGTGCAAACCGACTTAGAACGCATCGTCGTCGTCTGACTCGGACTCGGTCTCCGACTCGGCGCGGCTTGGCCGGCGTGGCGTCGTATGCTCGGGCGTGAGTTGCGTGAACCAGTCGGCCATACTTGCCAACGACGACTGCACGGCAGGAAGCACGTGCTGGTTGATGGTCGATTCGAGCAGGTTGCGCTTCGCCTGGACCGTGATCGTGAGCGCGGGCATCGTAAACGCTTCTTGGAGCTCCATGTCGTTGGTCAAATGCACAACGTCGCCTTCGTTGTCGACGTACGTGAGGTCCCATGGCAGCTCCTTGCTGCTCGTGGGCAGCGCGAGCTCAAAGAGGTGCGCGGCAAGGATGCGCACGTCGAGGAGCGTCGTGTCGAGGCCGACCGCGAGTTCGCGGCGCTGACTCTCGTAGCGGAGGACCAAGGCGCAGCGCTCTGGACGGCTTGCCATGTTGCCTGTCTTTTGAGGGTCGTGGAATGATGATCTCTATCCCACCGCAGCTGCCAAAGATAGGCGGCGGAAACGGCTATTTCGCGATCTTGCTTGTCTTTGACATCGAGAAAGGACGCGCAGTGACGGTTGCAACACGGTGCCACGACGGCAGGACGATACGTGTGGCTAGCCTAGTACAGACAGTGCGAGCCGAGAGACGCGATGAAGAGCAGTGGTCTCGACGTGTCTTCTTCGAGACGAGAAGGCCAGATGATCGCGACGACATCGCAAGGCTTTGGTTTCGTGTGTCACAATGTCGAGAGACATGGTGTGCCACGAGAGTATGGGCACCTGGAGGCTTTGTTGCGGACTGGACTTGGATGGTTGGAGCGATGGTTGGAGCGATATAAACGAGGAGCGACAAGGGTTTTTTGGTTGATTTATTGATCCTGACAACCTCGAGTATCGCGGAGCGGGCGAGGGCTCGATGCCGCTACGACGTACACCACCAAGGGCATAAATGTTGGCCTTGCCTTGGTGTACCATGGTGACATCGAGGATTGATCAAAGCTGGCACCTTCGCATACCCCAGCACTCTTGCTATTAGCGCGCCACGTCATTCTTGCTGCCATGGGATTGGCTCAGAATATCCAGATTGGGTGGTTGTGGTCCGCTTCGGCCTTCTCTCGTACCGTCCAGGTTTCGGCCCCTCGTCAATGTGTAGAAAGATGACCGCATTGATCGAAAGCATTTTTACGTTGGGCAGTAGAAGGCCATCGAAGGCGCTTTTCGTCGTCGAAGGCGCGGTGTCGGGGGGTCGTCCAAGATGTCATCGCTCGCAGCGCGAGCGAGGTCTTGGATGCGCTTGAGGTCTACAAACGCTTGTGCCTGCGTGTCGACCTTGGGCGGTAGCGGGCACAGCTGCCAGTGCATGGGCCTGACCCTGCGCCACTCTGTCTCCACAGGCACGACGACGCCTGTGCCGCCTATGCTTTGGCGGCCGAAGTGACTGGATCACGGCTTGGGTTCGCGCTTGGAACGTCGCTTTTGCGTGCCGCGCGTGGGCTTCGATGCGATCACGCTGCTGCTGGTCGCGGCGCAACCGTGCGCGACGCTCGCGCACACTGAGCGGTGTATCCTCAACGCGTTCTTTCATCGCATCGACAGCGATCTCTGCCTCGGTCGCCGCAGCCTGTTTGGCACGTTTCCGTGTTGTCTTTGCTGACACTTTTGCTTGAAGGTTGGCGAGAGTCGCTTTCTTCTCCTTGACTAGACAGCGCAGCGCAAGATGAGGCGATACGCTGATGACAACGAGACGCACGCAAGGCCCGCTCGAGAAGCGCTAGCATCGTGTCGTTCTGATAGTCGCGCGCCCAGTCCATGGCCGAGTGCTGGGACGTGCCACAGTCCTAGGAGCTGCACGTCACGTTGTAGCAGTGCGGTGAAGACAGACACCTTTGTGACGGACGCGCCGTGGCGTAAGAGAACCTTGAGCATCCCCACGTCTTGGTGCTTGGTGGCCCACCGAAGACACGAGAACCCCGACTAATAGGAGGTGTAGTACGAAAGCATGTCGGCTACAAGAATGGACACCTTGTCACACACGTCCAAGTCCGCGCCGCGCAAGACAAGGTATCGAAGAAGCGCTGAGCGCTGGCGTCGACACGCCGCGCACACGGCCGTCTCTTGGATCTACACCAAGTCGACGGCAACGACGGCGGTCGGGCTACGTACCGTCGACGTCACGTTGATGTCGCCGTCGTAGTTTAAAAACATGTGCACGAAGAAGAGCCAACCATGCTAACACATTATATACGAGTCGTGTCGCTCGTGCAATGTGAATCTGTCGTACGGCAGCCGCGTGGACGATGGGAGGGACACCCTAGGCTTATATGAGATGGCGCTAACGCAGGCGTGTTGACGAACCGAGTCGTCGCGCTCGTTGACATCGTAGCCGCGCTGGAGCAAGCGCCTAGACAAATGCCTTGACTGCAGCAATGCGAAGCATATCCACCGACGCACCAGATCGTATAGCGGTCCGCGAGGCTCAGCGGCACGCGCTGGTGGCTCAGCTTGTGCATTGCATACGAGAGGAGGTTGGACTGCTCGAGAAGACCTTGCTCGCGAATGTACTTGTCCTCGGCGATGCGTCGCTTCCACTTGGCGAGCTGGCGCGCCTCGTCGTCATAGCTGCCGTCGGTCATGCTGCAATTGCCACGCCAAATATAGTCCTGGCAACCGGCTAGATGGTCGATTATACGGATGAGGGCGGGGATTGGTCACTGGTACGGAGATTTGGCTAGAACCACGCAACATTATCGCTTGTGCTGGGTCTGATGGGAGGTCGGCGCCGGTGCCCCAGTATCATGCCACATGTCCAGAGCCATTAAATGTATTCTTTATTGTGGTCGTTGTAGCAAGTACGTGATCTAGGAGCGAGGGATAGTGTATGCGCCTTCTGAGCGCGGATGGCTGCCTAGTTGCGTGCATTTAGTGACGCGGCAGGATTGGTCTGCAGGTCCCAAAGCAGCAAAATGAGCGCGTCGTCGTCGTGTTCGTCTTTCTGGATGGACATCGGGAATCCGGTGTACGTGGCATCGCCGATGGTCGACCAGTCCGAGTACGCGTTCCGGCAGCTCTGCCGACGGTACGGTGCGCAGCTATGCTACACGCCGATGCTCCACGCCAAGGTCTTCCTCTCGGACGCGACGTACCAAGCCCAGCGGCTCGACCTCATGGCCGACGAAGGCCCTACGATCGTCCAGTTTGCTGGCGACGATCCCAGGACGCTGCTTGCAGCCGCAAAAGTCGTTGAGAAATCCGCCGCCGCCGTCGATCTCAACTTGGGCTGCCCGCAGCCCATCGCGCGCAAGGGCCATTACGGCTCGTATCTCCTGCGTGAGGCCGACACAATTGTCGACATACTCCAGTGCTGGACTCAGAACTTGTCGATTCCTGCCACGTGCAAGATCCGTATCATTGACGAAGGCAGCGCCGACCCAACGAACCGCGGCCTCCAAGCCACGTTGCGGCTCGTGGATCAGATCGAAGCCGCGGGTGCCGCCGCGATTACAGTGCATGGACGCAACCGCGTCATGAGCGGCAAGAAAACGGGGCGTGCTGACTGGGCGGCGATCGCGGCCATCAAAGCGCGCGTCTCGATCCCGGTCATCGCCAACGGCAACATTGAAACGTTCGATGACGTGGCAGCGTGTATGGCCGCGACGGGTGCCGACGCGGTCATGTCGGCCGAAGCGCTTCTCGAGAACCCGGCGCTATTCAGCGGTCACGACGTGAGTCCGTTTCAGCTTGCACGCGAGTACTTGGCGCTGGCAGCCGCGTCGCCTCTCGTCGGCGTCAACTTTCACCGGACCGAGAAGGCCCATGTGGTTCGCATGCTGCATGCACCCATGCGTCAGCTCGTTCGTGCGTCCATCATGGATGCCACCGCGCTCTTGGCCGCGACGCAGTCGCTTCCCGAGCTCATTGAAGCTGTCGCGTCGATCGAGACTGCGGCAGCCGCGTTGTCTGCGCAGCATGTTCGAGGAACGGACGCGTGGTACTGGCGGCACCGTGCCGATGCTGACAACCCGAGTCGGTCGGCACGCAAAGACATCCAGCGGCAATGGCTTGCTGGTGGCTTGCGACTCACCCGATGACTAATAGAGAATTCCATCGTATTATTACGACGCATCGAACCCTGGGTGGCAGCTGCCCTTGCCGTCACTTGATGTTGGTTTTGCGTTGTGTCCACGGCGCCGTGGCGTCGATGTGCACGGGCGATTATAACCCTCGCCTCCAGCCCGCGCATCCCACGCGTACAACGCCTGCGTACCGTACGAGATGAAAGCTGCTGTTAACGGCGACGCCGCTTGCATACTACATGGTGCAAGATGAGAGTGCATACGCATGCGTAGGACCTTGAAGCTCCGACTCTGGCGACTGGGGATTCCGCATCTGGATGGCACCGGCCCACTTGGATGCTCCCTGGCTCCACCTGGCACGCCACGGAGATTTCTCACGTGTGAAATATAGATTGCCACCGGTTAGTCGTGTCTCTGTAAACAGGGCAACCACAAACCAGCGCTGGCACGTCGCAGCCCAGGAGCCTATGCCATCGCCATGTCATCTCCGTCTTCTTCATGCGACGATCGAGGCGTTTTCGCATGTGCTCATACGCCGACGCCGGCGTACTAGCATCTCCATGCATCCCAGTAATACCATCGCCATCGATCCCTACACAGTACCGGTGCCGGTACTGCATTATGACGGGCATATCGCCAGTTCCGTCCCACTCGGTGGTGACGCTAGCCGTCACTTTGCGAGCCATTAGTCTACGAGTATCGGGGGCCGAACGAACGTGTTCGAACGTGGTCCTTATATCAACTCTCGTCTCGACGCAGCATCTTGCCCGGTCCTGACGCGGGATAGAGGACGCGACGCGAGCAAGGGCGTCGACATCGAAGTATGGTTTCTTCTGGACCGCATCCCAGCACCTTGACCCTGTCACGTCGAGGCTGTCGCACCGCGAAACACACGTGAAAAATCCGTTTTAAAACACACGCCGTTTTTCACGTCAGCCGCTCGTGTGGCGAATGGCGAGCTACGCTATATTATATTAATACTCTGCAGCTTTGTATGCTGTAAAGGACAAACGCATTAAAATCAAGCGCGCGGGCGCGACGACGGTGTAGCGCGTGGCAGCTGGCGCTCGAGAACCGCATGCAGTAGGACGCCATTTACGGTTCGTCCTCGTCGAGGCCCATGGAAGCGAGCCTCATGGACGACCTCGAGAGCCAAGCGCGGACGTCCTTGAGCCTCTTTAGCTTCGGCGACGTCGGCGAGTACACGCTGCTGTCGCAGTCGACCAACAGCGCGGCCAAGCTGCGCCTCGAAGAGCGCGTGGTCAAGCGGGGCGGCGAGACGACCTTGTACCTGGTGCGGTCGACGGTCTTTGTGGCCGCCGAGCTCCACGAGCTCCTTCCGATCCTCATCAACTCGGAGAAGACGGCCATGAACGACGCGGTCCAGTTCTTCTTTGGCGGCAAACACCGCCATTGCACCCAAGTGTTTCGGCAGAAGCGGGACACGGGCGTCGCGAGCCTCAAGCGCGTGATTGCCGACCAGGGCACGATCCTCAAGAGCCGCTGGCAGTGCTCGTTCCTCGACTTCGAAGGCACGCTCGTGCCCGACTGGCGCGACGACTACGCGGCGCAGCCCAAGCCCGACATGTTTGTCCGCGTCATGCAGTCCTCGTCGCTGCTCGATGACCCACTCATGCACCCACTGCCCGCGAATACGAAGCTCAAGTCGATCTCGCCGCGCGGCGTCATGGTGCGCAAGGTCCCCAACCCGTCCTCGAACCCGTCCGACGCGCCGCTGGGTGTCGAGGTGCAGTTTGTTGTCTCGTTCCTCGAGACGGCGCTCATCAACCTGCCGCGCCGGAGCCGATACCAAAAGCTCGTCGCGCAGATGGCCAAGCTCGAAGACGTGGTCGTGAGCCGCCGTCTAAGTCGGACGTTCCGCGACCGGAAGCTCAACCCGCTCCACCCGCAAATCCAAAACTGGGTCGCCAACGACAACCGAACCACGTGCCACATCTGCGACGCCAAATTTCACTTTTCAAAGCGGCGCCACCACTGCCGGCTCTGCGGCGAGATCGCCTGCGATGCGTGCTCGCCCAAGATGGAAGTCTGGCTCCCGTACAAGTCGGCGCCGACCGCCGTCCGCATCTGCACCGACTGCGTCCACGCGCAGCAAGCCGACGACGACGACGACGTGGCCACCGCGACACTCGCCAAGTCGAAGAATGTCTCGGTCTTTGATACGATCTACGACGCCATGTACTGCAACAACCAGAGCTTCAAGGACCGCCCGGTCGAGCGCGACCTCCGGGGCACCGCGTCGTCGTCGCCGTCGTCCTCGAGCGAGCTTGGCGACGATATCGCAGAGAGCGTGTCGCTCCTCGACCTGAATCTGCACCTCGCGCCGCCGCAGGACGAGACGGGAGATGTGTGCAAGTGCTGCCGCGACCTCCTCGGTGCTGTCCGGTATGGCTGTTCCATGTGCACGGGTGTCGTCTGCGGCGCGTGCAATCTCCAAGTGCACGGCAACGACGGCGTCGAGAACCTCTGCCGCATCTGCGTCGGGAAGGACTCGGTCACGCAGCTCCTCACACGCTCGGACAAGGGTCTCCGCCACTCGATCAACGTCGGCGGCTTGGACGGCCGCCGGCGCAGTAGCAGCAGCAACGCCGTGCTCTCGCAGTCGGCTCGTCCGCACCGGTCGCGTCTCTCGTCCGTCTTTTCCAACACGGACCCGTCCCGGCACCTCACGTCGTCGCCGCCCACGTCGTGGGTCATCTCCTAGTCGCGCGCGTTTGTTTTCGTTTGTGTTTTATTTAATTTTCAACCATTTGCGTTGCATGCGGCGCCACCGTCACTGATCACTGCCACACAGCCACCCAGAGATACATACTTACGTGTACGTAAGACAGCAGCAACGCATCGGTCGACCCAACGGCGCCAATTCCGGCCCAAGAGCAGCCAAACAAACCGGCTGCTCGTCACCTGCAGCAGCGGCCGCGTCGTTCCAAGTGAGATTGTCAAGGTATGTCCTCAGGTCCACGGGTAAAAGGACGGAAAAAGGACCGCCCCGAGAACGCTAAACACGAGTGCGTACAGCAAGAGCCCTTTGCTCGCTGTCGGGTGCGTCATCGAGAGGTGGCCCGCGGCCCAAAAAATCGGCGGGTTGGCGCAGAGGAACCGCGTCAGCACCTAAGAGCACGAGTTCCATCCATAGCATTCAACGATGGCGCGTCGTACTTGGATGTGGAGCACAACGAGGGCATTGGCAAGCAGGAAGGCAAGATGCACCATGTAGGGCTGCAGCGGCGCCGGCAGCACCACGGTAGCCCGCGGACGGTAGTACGACAGCAGCGCATACGACGACAGGAGCAGCATCGGCGTCGCCAGCGCAAAGTTGGGAATCTACATAGTGGCGACCAGGTGAAATTGTGGTACAGCGATTACCTGCTTGAGCTCGTAGTAGGCAAACGGACCGACGCCCCAGTACTCTTTTTGGATAAACATGTACATGGCCGAGATGTTGGGCACGACGCTGGCGCACCACGGCCGGTCCACGTCGAGCTTGGATGTCACGTTAAGAAGAGAGCTAAAACAGCATCGATGAGGAACTTGCGTCGAGATGGCACGCGTCGTACGCAACGATGGCCGTGTACGGCGACAGCGACGGGCAGTAGGCGGCAATGCCAAACGCAAAGTAGAGAAGTTGGGGCCCGATCGCCACGACGCCGAGCAGCGCCGTCACGACCCAGTAGCGCAGAAATGCGCCGAGTGCTTGCAAGGGCAAGGGCGACGCGAGAAGGCGGTAGTAGGCAATGTACACTAAGAAGGTGTCAGAATGAAAAGAGGATATTAACACGTACGGGACAAGAGAACGCCGTTCGAGCGCGTGGCCGACGAAAGGCCAAACAAGATGGCGCTTAAAACGAGGTGCAGCGTCGAGGATCGATGCGACGTGCGGTAGAGCTCGAGGTAGTACATCCCGCCAAAGCTCAGGACGCACATCAAGCTACGACGCTCTCAAGTCGTGCTCGATACGATCGTACATACCTCTCGCTGTAGCACGACGACATAAAGATGCCAGAGGGGCAGAAGCAAAAGAAGATGGCCGAGCGGCGCGCCAGCGTCTCGTTCTGGAGAAGCTAGTACAAGCGTGAGCAAGACAGAACCCGCGTCGAGGCGCCGGATACCAATTGCCCGAGGCGGTAGAGGTAGCGCGCGGCAAGAACAAAGCTTATGTTGCTGCCATCGAGGTGCGTTAGCCTTGACTGCGAGACCAAGATGTTGATTGCACGTACCTGATGCACCAGCCTGCCACCAAGATTGCAGTCTGCGGGTCGCAGAACGGGGAAAGGAGCGCGCTGTGCCACGACGGCGTGAGCTACCGATGATTGGATTTGCGAGTGTACCTGGCGTAGCGCGTCAAGAGGCCAAAGAGCGGAAAGAACGCGTGGGTGTTCTCGTAGCCGTAGCCATCGGCTGCCATGTCGACGTAGTAGACGCCGTCCCAGGTGGCAAAGGCGCGGAAGATGGACGAAGACGCTGCGGATGTATCGTAGGGCGTGATGAGGTACGCGCTGAGCATCGCCATGGCCGAGACCCATGCCCGCGAGAGGACCGCGGTGGCCACGACCTTGGCCTCCTTGCCCATGTAACACGCTTCCTGCAAAACTGTTTCAACACTGTTTTCGTGCATAAAATTCCATGTAAATAGTGTGAAAGCAGATGAGGCAGCCTTCGCTACACCACGGCTTTGCAAAGCGACCATGCTAGCAACAGTGATACGGTGTTGGTCACGCTTCGCTGCTTTCCACTTCCTTGTGGAAATGGATTTCGCTGTCGACGTGAGGCTGATGCCAGTAACGAGGCGGCGTGACTGTACACTATATAGGTACAAAGTGTGTGAATGTTTGTGATGGGCAGTATTTGGTGTGCGCGAAAGATACAACGGGCAAAAATGACAGCACGCATGCGGCCGTCCATGACAGCGGACCGCCTGGAGGTCATCCTGCACGACGCATGCGATGCCATGGGGCAGGCGAAGCTCCTCGCTCCGAGACGTGGCTCGCGTACATCCTCGAGGCCATGGCCACGCCCTCCGACGAGGTACGAAGCGATTTGCAGCGGTAGAGCAAGCGTACGGCTAGCACGAAGCCCTCGCCGGGCGCTATGGCGTGCCCGCCGATGTGGCCAAGACCGCGCACGAAATCCTTGAGGCGCGCAAGCCCGACGTTCATCGGTACCTCGTGAGTCAAGCGATTGCATTGACGCCGACGCACCTTGTGAGCTTCGACTACTCGGTCCGGGTAGGCTGCGTTGTCATGACATGCGCTCGCCGTGACGCCTTGTGCCTTGTAGCTTGTCATGACAAGCAGCACGCTCCACGGTGTGTTCTACCCCGTTCTCGTGCTTCTGCTGTTGCTCCAAGATGCCAACGGTGCCCAGCGGGAGGTACTCGATGCACATCGTTCTCGTCGTCTCATGGTCGGGCAGGTGCGCTATGAGATGACGACGGACCAAGTCGACGATCTGCTCAATGAATTTGACGCAATCGAAAAGGTACATTCTGTCCAACGAAGAAGTGACAAGCGCACGTCGATGGTAGACGCTCTCGGCCGTCGCGCCGCAAGACGTAGTCTAGTCGTTCCATGCAACCAAGAACACGACGAGCTTGCGACAAATGTATCAAGTTTCCGTATCAAGTATCAAGTTAGCCAAACGCAAAGTGGAGGCAAGCACGGAGGCCGGCCTGCGCCCTGGGAAAGTAGCTGAGGCAATACCACGTGAGCGCGCAGCACTGGACAAAGACGGAGATGAACACGAGGATCGAGCGGAACCAAAGGCCCGGGCAGAGCGCAAACATGAGTGTGAGTCCAATCGTCGACAAGTACGCTGTGAAGCAAGGGAGTCGGTCCTTCTCCTGGAGGTTGGCCCACTGCTGGCGCGGCCCCGCGACAAAGAGCGTCGAGAGCATAATGATGAGCGAGCCAGACGAGTAGAGCACACCGAATGCCGCCATCGACAGCGGTAGCCTACACAAGGATCAGCTCATCGGCTCGGTTGCAACTAGTAATCGTAGTACACGAAGAAGGAGACGAGGAAGAGCACGAGGCCAAGACCGAGCGTCGTTAGGAACCGCTGCGTGTTGCGCGCATCTTGCGCCTGCGCCTGGTCGTCTTGGCCCAAGAAAGACTCCTTGAGCGTCGTGGGCAGCATGCGCGTACGATGAGAATCTTATTGTGTGCATCTTCTTCGATGGAAGATCCATTCCATCGGCGAAACGGTGCGTTGCGTCTTTCTAGTCCACACCCGGGTCGAAGGCTCCTTTTCACGCCATTTCAGCGGCTCGCGACAACACCTCGATTCCACGAAGCGAGCACTTGCTCCTGGTCATATCGTCTACTGATACTGACCTTGAACGATGCATGCATGAAGAAGCGCCATCTCTTGCTGTCAGTATATGTATACCCCTAACGTTAGCAGCGTCGCGAGGGCGTGGGTCGCATGTAAACCTCTATGAATACATACGATAGCTGTGCCAATAGAAACGCAGCGCGCCGGCGTAAATATGCATTGTGAGAGGTCTACCACGCCATCGGATTGGCCCGCGTATTGGCTGGACGAGCGCGTAATATTTGGTTGGAAGCGGAAGTCGGGATTTGTATGGGCTCTGTAGTCGCAGCTTAGTGTTGCTTTTCAGTTCCATCTACCAACATGGTATGTCCTCGATGCGAAGCTTAGCCAAGCCTATGGCCCGGGCTACGAGGGCGTCTGCCTCCGCGGCCTGCTTCCCGGGCCTTTGACACTGCATTAGAGTCCCTCGCCGGCGACGACTGACCTCTGTGCCATGTAGCCTACCGCCGCCCACAAGAACCGTAAGAAGCGTGGTCACGTGTCCGCTGGTCACGGCCGTATCGGCAAGCACCGCAAGCACCCGGGTGGTCGCGGTAACGCCGGTGGTCAGCACCACCATCGCATCCTCTTCGATAAGTTCCACCCTGGTTACTTCGGTAAGGTCGGTATGCGCCGCTTCCACCTCCTCAAGAACCGCCTCCACTGCCCCACGGTGAACGTTGAGAAGATCTGGTCGCTCGTCTCGGCCGAGACGAAGGAGGCCGCCGAGAAGTCCAAGGACGGCAAGGCCCCCATCATTGACGTCACCAAGTCGGGCTACTTCAAGGTCCTCGGCAAGGGTCGTCTCCCCGCCATCCCGGTCATCGTCAAGGCCAAGTTCTTCTCGCAGGAAGCCGAGAACAAGATCAAGGCTGTCGGCGGTGCCTGCTTGTTGACCGCTTAAATGCGATACACGAGCAGTGCCCATCCTCGCCTCTTGGTAGAAGTGGACAACACGTAAATGGTTAACCAAACTGGAAATCACACCCTGGGTTGATTGAGTTATCATCGGCGCGCATGCAGCCACTGCACGAGAGACGAGAGAGACTGCTTCCGAGCAGGGTCGAGCAGGTCGGCGAGCGTTCGTTGGAAGCTGTCGACGTCCTCCGTCGCAACGCCGCTAAAGTTGTCGAGGCCAATCGCGAGCTCCGACTGCCGACGAGAGCAGACCACATGCACGACGCAGCCCTTGCACATGGTTTTGAACACCAAGCTCTCGTCAATCAGTCCTTGGCGGTGGTCGAACGGCACCGTGGCCAACGGGCTCACGTCGCGAAGCGCGTGCGGCTGGCACGTATACCGAGCCTCGTAGCAGGACGTGGAGACGCCATCGTCGCTCTCGTCGCGTGGTCGCGCCAGCCTCGCTTCGTAGTACCAGTGGGCGAGGAGTGTCGTGTCGGTGCGCGCTGCTTGGGCGGCCACGTAGCCTAGATGACATACGGTGCATGACGGCCTAGTGCGACGACGATGGAAGCGTCTACCTGGCTGCCCACGGACCCATGCTAGCGTGGCGGCGGCGTCCCAGCGGGGATGCGACGCGGCGACGAAGCGGTCGCCCTCGACCATCGCACGCTGCGCTTGAACCGGATAATACCATGTCAAACCGGAAACCGTTTCGAACGAACCGGCGCGGATCGGCGCCATGGACGCGTCGACCACGGTCGCCCACGGTACGCTGCGAAGGGCCAGCCGTGCGTGGCATTACAGAGCACGTAGGGCGCAGCGAGGCCCACCTGGAGCACCTCACGATATCGGTGCCATCGGCCTCACCGCTCTACTCGAACGACTTTCACAGCGCGTCGCCGTCGGTGGTGCGCCGGTCGCCGACAAGTCGCGACGCAGATCGGTACAAGTCATCGCCGATGCTGCGCACGCCAACGTCGTCCAAGGAAGTCGTCTGGATACAGCAATACGACCCGCGTTCTCGGCAGTACTACTATCTCAACGGGTCCACGGGCGAGACGACCAGCACCAAGCCGCGCTTCTTCTCGAAAGAGCTCCGTGAGCGCAAGAGCGTCGCGGCGCTCACGATACAGTGCGCACTGCGCTCGCACATTGCACGCGCGCGCGCGGCGGCCTTGCGCGTCATTGCACCCGCGTCGTCCCACACGGGCGACGCGGTCCTCGACGAAGCCTACGCGCGCAAGACCAAGTACATTGCTTCGCTCCTCGCCGCTATTGCAAGCCTCCTTGCGATGCGGACACCCTCCTTTGCTACCGTTAAGGATGCACAGGATCGCGATGGCGACAACAACAAGAACGATTGCCACCTCGATCGGGACGAGCTACTCGCCTTGTATGAGGAGTTTAAGTCGACGCTCCGGTCGCTCCGGTCGACGTTTGCCGCCGTTGAGGCTGTCATCCGAGAGCTCCAAGACCAAGCGCTTCTCTCCACCAAGCTCGAAGACATCAACGAGACGCTCATTCAGGTGCAGAAAGGCGCCGTCCGGCTACAGCGAACGATCCTCGAAAAAGATGCTCTCTTCTGCACCATGGACGCGGCGCGACTCAATGCCGCATATGCCGCCTACGCGACGATTCTCTCCGCATCCAAGCAGCGCGACGCCGACATCGTGCTGCAAAAGGCTCTCGTGCGCTGCGAAGCGATCTTCCGCAAGACGATGGGACCGGCGTCGGTCCAGGCCGGGCGCGGCATGGACGTGACCAAGGTCGCTGGCAAGGTCTTTGCCGACTGGCACGACGCCGTCACGGTGGCGGTCGAGAGCGTACACGAACTCGAAGAGGCCGCCAAGGTATTGCCAACGGTACCTGTTGTTGTTGCGGTCGAAGCAGCGCCGGTGGTCGTTCCAGCGACGCCTCCTCTCGTTCCCGCTGCGATTCCCGAAGCGGCGCCCGTGTCGGAAACAAAGAGCCCTCGCCGAAGCTCGTACGACGTGGCGTATCTGCAAGAGCGCTGGGCGCGCGGCCTCGACCTCCGGGCCAAGGACGCCGAGGTGCAGCTGCAGCACGCCAGCGATGCCGAGCGACAGCGATCCCACGCCTTTCAAGACCGCGTGTACGCGCAAGCCCAGTACCAAGAAGAGCGCAATCGGTGCAAGCTCACCATCTGGGAGGCGGTCGTCGAAGGTCTGTGGTTTCTACTTGGCATGCGTCAGAAATAACCAGATGCACAGGGTGGTCGGTTGAGAAGATTAGCCACCTCGTTGCGCAAGAAACGAAGAAGACCATGCAAGACGGCGTCTCGAGCTTCCGCGTGCGCGACTCGCAGTCGGAGAACGGCCGGACGCTGCTTCAGCTCGCCTGCTGGTGGGGCCACGAGGTGCGGCAAACTACGATGTTTCCATTTGGATTCTATCAGGACGCGTAGCATTTGGTGCGGTACTTTGTCGAGAAGGGCTCCAACTTGGGCCAATTCGACAGCGTTTGCAATCGCTTCACATTACTGCACGACGCGGCGCGCGCGGGCCATGCACATGTCGTCCGCGTCCTGCTCGAGTACGGACTCAGCGTGAGCGTGGTCGACGCCAGCGGCGATCTGCCCTTGCACTGGTAGATGCTTTTGGCGAGTGTTTCAAGAGCCGATCTTGCTTTCAGGGCGACCCGGCGCAACCATCTGGACGCGGCCAAGGCCCTCTTGGAGTGCGGTGGCAAGCCCACGAGCGCCCACGTCGCCCGATGGAAGAGTCTCGGAACACGAAACGCGCGCGGAAAGCTCCCCATCGACCTCGCCAA